AAAGGTTTACTATTAGTAGCTCGGGATGGTAGTTGGGCTGTTGGTTTAATCTCCGAGCTTGGCGATTTGGCTGCAAACCAAATCTCCATTCATCTCCATTCGGGGGGACACCTTCAGTGCGCTTTGAATTGATTCAGATTGATTCCGTTCTCCCGAATGGAGATGAAACGTTTGCAGCCAAATCGCCAAGCTCGAAACTTAAACCAACAGCCCAGGTTTAATTGTTTCTTGAGAGTGGAGGGTGATCTTGAACAGACGCTACACATTGAACCGGAATATAGGCTATAGAAGAACATTTTTGAGAGCCTGACTGTTATTTTTCCGTTTCTCCCTCCCTCTTATATTCCAGAGAATCAGGGCAAAATAGTCGACGTCTCTTCCTCATACTTTCCCTCTTTCTCAGACTCAAAGCATGTTTTTGCACGTGTTATACAATCTCTTGAATAGTTTCTCCAAGGTCACCTCCACAGCTCTGCAGGTGAAAGAAAGACTTCCCCCTTGCTTACTAATTTGTTTAAAAGTACTTTTCAGAAGTACTTTTTCTGTCCTGGTGGTAGAGTAGCTAAGAGAGAGAATGATTTGCTCAAATAATGTGGCAGCTTTGGTTTTCGGTATTTTATTATGTGTGAAGGAGGGTCAGATGCCAGACACTGAGGTTTGAGGATTATGGCTTAGTCCATTTGAGTTTATCATAGGCTTAAGCAAGCCATGACTTAGAGCATGGGTGTCCAACCTTTTGACCTGCATGAGCTGTGAAGAGGAATTGTCTTGGACCACATATAAAATACATAGTCAAGTTGATATATATAAATAACAAACTTCCTTTGTATTTTTATATTTACGATCTTGTGGGACTGTATTACTAGTTATCCAGGGCCGCATGCAGCCTGCAGGCCAAAGGTTGCACATGCCTGACTTAGAGAGTGGTATGATGGATTTTCTACAGCCATTGTTTAATGCTTTGTAATGCCCTACTACATTGGTCCAATTAGGACTAAATGCTGTAATTGTGAAATTCTTGTTATGTCTGAGCTTGGTTTACTTACAGAAACCACAGAAACCACATTTACACATCATTCAAAATAGACAATAACAAGCCTAGAAAGGAAAAATAAAAAGACTAGAACACATCTCCTCAGCAGCCCACATTTACAATGGCAATTTACAATGTAGAAGCATTATTTGCCTATTGCCCCCAACAATCTGGGTCATTTTACCAACTTTAGAAGGATGGAAGGCTGAGTCAACCTTGAGCCCTGTCAGTATTGAATTCCAGGCTGTGGGTAGAGTTTGCCTACATTACTGCACTTTAACAACTGTGCACACCAGGTTTTCTATATCTTGGCATTTTCTTGTTTCGTTTACAGGCTTCCTTCCTGCCACTTTGAAACAGTTGCCATGCATAACGGTGCCTTTTCGAATGGATGCTCAATCTTTTCACAGTAGTCCAAGGTGTTTGGAAGAAATGCAGAAGAAAGCACAGCCTGATGAACAATCATATAAACATGTAGAATATATGCCCTCAAGAAGGTTCAAGACCTCTCCAAATCCAGTTGCTATTGCTTGGTGAGCATTGCTTTTATCATTCTATGATCCAAAGCAAGGTAGGCATCCCATGATTTCCTTCTGAGGTTGTGTTAGCAGAATTTAATGACAAAATGACTGATTTGTAGTGGCTTACTTTCAGCATTTTTTTTAATGGGGTAAGGAAGCAAACCACTATAGTTCTCACCCTTTAAATCTCCTGTAATGGCCCAATTTTGTACATCAAAATTTGGCCATTTTGACACGGAAAGAAACCCTATTAAAACCTTGGAGAATTTTAATAGTAGAAGTGATTTGTCCTTTGGGAGTTTCTTGTTCCCATTCCTACTCTGAAATCTTTTCTCCATTTAAAAAAAAAGATGATAAAATTTGGTTTAATCCTAATCGTTAGCAAAAAGAATGATCTTTGTATCTCTTTTGGAAATCAATGATGGTACGTATGTTAATTTTCAAAAATCAATTATGTGAGACAACGGCTGGCCAAAAATCACCCTGTTGAGCTCCATAGTGAGCTGTAGGCCTAGAACCTATATCTTCCTACTCTAAAATTGGATTTCTTATATTTCCCACAAATTCCTTAACTTGTATTGAGTAAATAGAAAACTAAATACAATTCCATTTTTTAGTGCAGTGGGAGGAGTTAGTTGTCTCTTTGGAACCTCATGTCTTTTTCAATCCAAATCCCAGGTAATTTTAGCTTATTTTAATCTCCTTAGGGTCATTGGTTTTCCCTCTGCATTCGCCCTTTTCTTCCTTGCTAAGAGACAGGTGGAAAAGAAACGTGTGAAACAGATGAAAGCTCGCCGACAGATGATGGCAGCCAATAAAGAAGATAATTTGACCCAAAGAACAGAAAAGCATCTAGACACTAAGACTAGTTGAACTGTACACTTCAATCATTAAGTTACTGCCTTCAGATTCTCAAATTCTAGTACTTAATTGGAGCAGAGTACTGTGCTGCAGAGCAGTTCCAATTTCTCAAGTCTGCATTTCTATGGATCAAAGTTATCAATAAATTACCATCAAGATTACTGCAATAATCCTCTACATCAGGGGTATCTCAGGCAAGAAACAGCCGCCTGGCTTTAAGTGTATTGTGCTTTTCTTACTTTGAAGGGATTTCATGCTAAATCTGGATAAATGAAGATGAAATCGCAGGAGCTGTGATCATGTGGGTCACGAGAATCCAACAAAACCACTTATACTTTATTTTTTTCTTTTTTGTGAGCCATGTTTTCTGAATAATTGTGGGTTCTTTCAGTTATATCCCATCATATTCTGGGTAGCAAATGAAACCAGATCACACCATTCTATCTTACCAAAATTTATGTAAAATATTGAACTCATTAAATATTTGAAAAATTTTAAAGTGCGGGTTAGTTTATTACAGATACTTAAGAAGAATCCAAGCAAACTTGCAGTTTTGAGTGATTGGCAAGCTAATTGGTTCCATTTCAACAGTTAGGCAAGATGACACCCAGATTTTACATGCAGGTTTTAGCCTAATCTTAGGATCCTAAAAATAATGATAAAATTACAGGGTCCTTTTTAATGTATCAAATTGAACAGTACATTGTTGGAAGGAAATTCTGTTTGCAGTTACTGCTGACAAATTGTTACTACTATTTTTACATCTCATTAAAATTTCTGCTTTCTACAGAAGTTTTTTGTTTATTTATGTCATCATAATGGAACATTGACCCAAGTGAACTCACAGCTTCCAATTCGTAGTATAATGGTAACATGGTTCTATGACACAAGACAAACGAAACAGATGTCACTTTAGTCCAGGCATGTCCAAAGTCCGGCCCGCGGGCCATTTGCGGCCCGCGGCCTGGTTTAATCCGGCCCTCGAACAGCCCTCCCTGCTCTATATAAATGCGGCCCTCCGGCAAGTCCCATGAGAGAGAGAGAGAGAGAGAGAGAGAGGCACTTGCACTTCTGTCTCTCTCTCTCTCATGGGACTTGCCCCCTCGCAGGGCTCCTCATTGGCCCTGCGCCCTGTTACCCTGCCCCCAGCCGCAAGCCACCATCCGCCCTGTGGTTATAAGTGTCCCGGCAGTTGGGACCCACCCCTCCCGGAAGTCAATCAATCCTTGGCGGTTCTCCGTCCGGCCGCTTGTGCGCTGCATCACCCAGCCTCCTTCCCTGAAGGCTTGTTGGACCAGAGAGTTCCAGGTTGGTGTCAGCCCTTGCTTGGCCTTCTGAGCTCTCCCGCGGCATCTGCTGGTGTTGCGTGGCCCGTTCGGCTTTCCCCCTGGCGTCCGCGGCATTCTCCGCCTCGCTGCAGCTTTCCCCGGCCGGCTCCAGCAGTTCCAGCTGATTGCCGGCACGTGGCTGTTTCTCCCTGGCAGCCTCGGCCCCCCCAGCCCTGTCGGTGAGCACCCGGCAGGGCGCAGCGTCGCCAGGCCTCCCCCCCTTGCGCGAGGCTTCTGGCGTTCCCCCTCGCGCCTGGCTACGGCGGCTCGGGGTTTCCCGTCCCGGGCAC